TAGGTGGGAGTTGTCTTACCAACTCTGAGAGGCCAATTAAGTAAGAGAAAAAAAACTTTTGAAGTGATAATCAAGATAGCCCAGTACAGACAGTTTGATAAGAAGTGTGAGAATACACAACTCCCACCTGTTTATGCTCTCTGTATGTGTGTATATATATCTCCCCAATATTTATTCCACTCTATATGCATCTGAAGAAGTGGGCTGTAGTCCACGAAAGCTTATGCTCTAATAAATTTGTTAGTCTCTAAGGTGCTACAAGTACTCCTGTTCTTTTTGCAGATACAGACTAACACGGCTGCTACTCTGAAACCTGAAAAATACTATTTCTTTTGTTTATCTTTTTACAGTGCAAATATTTGAAATAAAAAATAATATAAAGTAAGCACTGTATACTTTGTATTCTGTGTTGTAATAGAAATCAATATATTTGAAAATGTAGAAAAACATCCAAAAATATTGAATACATTTAAATTGGTATTCTATTGTTTAACAGCGTGATTAATCGTGATTAATCTTTTTGAGTTAATCGCATGCGTTTACTGCTATTAATCGACAGCCCTACCTCAGATCCTAAACTAAACCCTAACTCTGATATAATCTCCAACTGTGAACCATAGCCTAACCCTAATCCAGATTGGAATAGCTCCTCCTTGGTTTATCTCTGCCAACAGCCAATTAGCATGTGTAAACTTAGTTCTGTGTCTGCACTGATGTGCCCAAAGGTTTTCAGCGAGGTATAAAATTCACATCCAAAATTAGAGCCATATCCTGAGACAAGCTGAGCCGCTGCCACTTAGACCGGGGCATGTGCTCAGCATCTCTCAAGATCAGGCCCTTACAAAGGATTATTTTTAATGAAAAATGCATGGGAGAGGATGTTAGCTATTAGGATATTAACAATAAACAGGCTAGTGAACCTTTGACTCTCCTCTGGAAGGAATCAGAAATGCGCAGCTGCGTATGATAGCCCCTATACCGCTAACAGTTCGAGGGTATTTATCTTTCACTTAGGGCTCCAGGAATTTTTTTACTTTCATAACTGACGCAGCAAGCCAATTAAGCAGTGGCTCAAACCACTCACAGGTTAAAGTTAATGTTGAGACTACAGCTCTGTTGCCAATTAAGGTAGCCTGCCCAAATTGCAAGTGATTAGGAATTAAGCTCTGCCCCACAACATAAAGCATTCAGTAAATTTTATACTGTCAACACTTGTTAATTTCAACTAGCAAACAAGAATGTAGCTAAAAATAGCGTGGTTTCAATATACAACTCCTAATCCATAAAATACATAGGGATGTATTCTTTCAGCCAGCAAGATTGTTGAACCTAGAGCTGGTTTAGATATTTAGGGGACTATATGAGAGGTGTCATTCTCAGATAAATTCTGTGCAGTCATTGCACACATGCTCTCGCACATGCGTGTGCACACACAATCGCCACCTAGAGTGAAAAAAGCAAGTGCGAGAATGCCGAAGGCGAGGCGTCTCAGGCAGCTCGTCCGTGGTTGAAAAGATTAGCCGGTGGTTTTCTCATCGCAGCTGATTAACGTTGATGGACTTGCTGCTTGGCTAGAGGTTCCTTGCTTGTAAATGTCAAGTCTTAAATGTTGGACATTGCTGGATACCTACACCTCAGTGGTAGCCAGGAGCAGGGCAGAGAAAGGACAGGCCTCGTTAGCAGGCATGATGGCTTTTCTTGGTATAGAGGCCCTCAGCCAGAATGAAGCTAGGGTATTTGCTTTTCCTTCTGTTTTTGTGGGTAGTGGCCTGCCTGGTCCCTCCCCCTTGGAACTTCTCCTCAGGAGCTTGTTGGTGAATTCTTGTGATTTAACTCTGTCAGTTAAGTCTTTTTCCTCCTAAAAATCACAATTTGGGGAGTTCCATTTTCACATGCAGCTCCATTTGCCTTCCAGAGTCAGAGCCATCCCTTGGGTACCATGAATCGAGGCGATCGCCCCAGGCCCCATGCTTCAGGGCGCCCCACGCTTTGATAAAATCGTGAGGAGGCGGGCAGGGAAGTGAGGTGGGCGGGCGAGCATGGTAAAGAGGCGAACAGGGAGGCTAATGGCAGGCAGGCAGGCAGGCGGGCGGGGGGAGGTGAGGAGGAGCCCCCCTACCAGACCTCTCCCTCCTTCCCCCCAGCACCTCCTGCCCACCAGCAGGCCCCGCCAATCAGCACCTCCCCGTCCCTCTCAGCGCCTAACGCCTGCCGCGGATCAGATGTTTTGCGGCGTCAGGAGCCGCTGGGGGGGAGGGAGAGGAACGAGGGCACAGTGCGCTCGGGGGAGGGGGCAGAACTGAGCGGGGAAGAGGCAGGGCAGGGGCAGGAAGAGGCGGAGTGGGGGCAGGTGTGGAGCGGGGGTGGGAAGAAGCAGGGTGGGGGTTGGACCTTACGGGAAGGGGTGGAGTGGGGGCAGGGCCTAGGCGGGTACGGGGCCTAGGCAGAGCCGGCAGGAGCATTCCCCCCACCCCCCGGCAGATTAGAAACTTGGTGCTTATGTCCAGGGCCCTGCACCCCCTTAGGGACACCCCTGCCAGAATAAATAGGATTTAAGCTCCTAAATTACTTAGGCGCTTCTGAAAATTTTACCCTCAGTCTTAGCCCTCTGAAAAAAATTGAGGGTTAATAATGGGAATGCGGCTCGTTATGTACCTGGAGCTTTGGGGTCCCAGGTGCCTCCCCCTTTTGCACGCTGGGACAGAAAGATTCTGCTTGTATTGACTCACAGACAAGAGGAGCTGTATTTGCAAAATATCTCCACAAGTAGGCTAGAAGATTTGCAAGAGATTTTGTTTGCTCACCTAAAAACTTGCATTTGTTATTGCAAATAGGGGTTTCCATGCAGGAATTGGGAGCATACTTGACTAGCAGTTTGCACATGCCTACATGCAGGGTGGTGGATGTTTTTTTACCCTACTATTACGGAATAATTTTAGAAGACTAAAAATATGGCCCTAAAAATTGACCAACTCTCTTAGGGGGGCAGTTAGACTTGTGCTTAAAGCACCAGTGTGGGGGCCAGAAAACCTGAGTTCTATTCCCAGGTTTCACTTCACCTCTCTGTGACTCAGTTTCTTTGTTTATCAACTTTGCAGAGGTGTTGTGAGGTTTGAAACATGTTCTCAGATCTTCACATAAAAAGACATTGTAGATGGGCAAAGTATTATGAGCGACCCTCAGATCATCTGGTTCATTGCTTTGCCAATGCAGTATAGCAGTACATTCTCCAGGGCCCTGTCCAGTCCTGTTTTAAATGACTCGGGATATTGGGCTTGGAGCTTCCACTAATTCTTCTGAGAGGCTATGCTAATGTCCAATATTGGCCACACTATTAGGTATTTGCTCCTGATCTCAAACCAACATTTCTCTTGGTCAAGTCCTGTATTGATGCTTTATTCATGATCTGGGATTGCTGTAGAGTTAATAAAAGTTTTCATTTCTGTCTTGCAGAGAAAGACCCAGAAAAGAAAATCCCGCAGGCCCAGGCCCACACTCCCAGCTAATTGTGTGGCTACTTGGAAAAACTGCAAGCCACCCTCTCCCCCGTGCTGTGATGTCTGCACCTTCTGCCACTGCCGGCTTTTTCAGACTGTCTGCTACTGCCGAGTAGGAAACCCAAACTGCTAAACCCACACCAGGAAGGCAGTGCTGGAACTCTGTCATTAACTGCTCCAGAGTTTGTTGCAACCTGTTTTTCTCGTGTGCATTGCAAGCGAAGTATAGAGTCTTTGAAGCTTTCCCGCTGGCTTTGTGTTCCCCAGACCTGAATGAACGCTGGGGTTTACCTCATGGAACAAGCACTGTGGCCCACAAGTAAATCATTACAGGGAGTGTGAGGGAGGGGGGATGGAGGCTGACGGGCTGACAGAGTATTTAGAACAGAACTGAATGGGAACAGGTTCCAGTTCAAGGAAGATTTGTTTCTTTCAGAAATGTGACATCTCACCACAGGCTGTAAGCGTCTATGAGGAGGACCCAGGCTGAATGCCCTAGGTTGTCAGTGTCCATCTACAGTATGAAACTGGCCGCATTAAAACAAGTTTGGTTAACACAACAGGGGACCTAGTGTTTATAACATAAGAATGGCCACACTGGGTCAGACCAAAGGTCCATCTAGCCCTGAATCCTGTCCTCTGACAGTGGCCAATGGCAGATACCCCAGAGGGAATGAACAGAAAAGGTAATCATCAAGTGATCCATCCCCTGTCACCCATTCCCAGCTTCTGGCAAACAGAAGCTAGGACCACCATCCCTGCCCCTCCTGGCTAATAGCCATTGATGGACCTATCCTCCATGAACTTATCTAGTTCTTTTTTGAACCCTGTTATAGTCTTGGCCTTCACAACATCCACTGGCAAAGAGTTCCACAGGTTGACTGCATTGCGTGAAGAAATACTTCCTTTTGTTTGTTTTAAACCTACTCCCTATTCATTTCATTTGGTGACTAGTTCTTGTGTTATGAAGAGTAAATAATGCTTCCTTATTTACTTTCTCCACATCAGTCATGATTTTATAGTCCTCTATCATATCCCCCCCCTTAGTCATCTCTTTTCCAAGCAGAAAAGTTCCAATCTTATTAATCTCTCCTCATATGGAAACCGTTCCATACCCCTAATAATTTTTGTTGCCCTTTTCTGAACCTCTTCCAGTTCCAAGATATCTTTTTTGAGATGAGGTGACCACATCTGCATGCAGTATTCAAGATGTGGGCGTACCATGGATTTATATAGAGGCAATATATTTTCTGTCTTATTATCTGTCCCTTTCTTAATGATTCCCAACATTCTGTTTGCTGTTTTGACTGCCGCTGCACATTGAGTGGATGTTTTCAGAGAACTATCCACAATGACTCCAAGATCTTTCTCTTGAGTGGTAACAGCTAATTTAGACCCCATCATTGTATATGTATAGTTGGGATTATGTTTTCCAATGTGCATTACTTTGCATTTATCAACATTGAATTTCATCTGCCATTTTGTTGCCCAGTCACCTAGTTTTGTGAGATCCCTTTGTAGCTCTTCACAGTCTGCTTACCACAGCACCATGTGGTTTACCTGTGGGGATAGCACCACATGTTATATTAGAACCAGGATACCATGCAGTAAGTGTAGGCTTTAGGATTAGCCACTTTCCCACACATGGAGTAAAGACCAGGGAGTCTGGAGTAAAGCCCAGATATAACAGGTTTTGGTCCTATCCTCCCAGCTAGGACCAGGCAGTGTTATGACACTACTCAGCACCAGCACAGCCAGTTCCAGGGCACCCAGACTCCTGGGGATCTTACTTACCAGCAGTAGTTCAGCGTATGGGGAACTCCTGTTTAGCTTTTGTTCTTAGAGATCTTCCTAGTCTTTGTGTCTTTTCTGGTGACACTCAGCAGCATAATGCCATCAGTGGGGGATCATCCTCCCCCATATCATCAAGAATAGACCTGGGAAGTCATGGTGGGGAGAGTGGGAGCAGGGCTAGAAACTGGTTTTAATGTTGAGAGTGGTCTTCACCCCACCTCAGCTCTCTATGTTCACCCGCTCTCTTCTCTGACTGCAGACTCTATGTCCTCCACATCTTTGTCTCTCTTCTGCAGCCCTTTCCTTCCTCTCACGAACACTGACAGTCATCACTGGTACCATTGGCCCAACTAACACTACCAGGGCTTCCCCTCCCAAAGTGTTTGTATGAGCAGTCTGTCAGCCTGCTATATCAGAATGCAGGACCGTCCAGCATTCCTCACCCTCGCCTTCCTGCCATGCCTGCTTTCCCCAAGCATATGACAGCAGCCTGGAGAGGGTCCTATGCCTACATCTGCTCATTCTCTGCCTAGATGCCAACAGGGGTAACATTACTTTGTTTCAGCCAATTATTGCCAAGTACAGGGCTGAATGATGTTCTATGGCAATCAGAGAAAACGTGAAAGACATAGATGCTCTCTGAAGCCATCCTGGCAACATTTGCTCGTAAATTTTTGCCTCCCTCCCCCAACCCGAACTTAAAAACTCAGAGTTCAAGACACAGGACAGATGTTGATAGAGAGCAGGTGATTAGTCTGTCAATCTATCTCTCTATAAAGTTCAAAAAGAGAAAAACCTAGGAGAGGCTAAACAGAGACAGACCAACCCCCAGTGTTCATTCCTTTCTCCTACTGGCTGCCATAAATCTTGCAAGGTTGGAGTCTATTAAAATGTTCATAGTTGTTTCTTTTAATCAGATGTACAGATTCAGGAGTCTATACACAATTTGGGCATGGAAAAAAAGGAGTCCAGAAAAAACATACATACTAGATGCAGGCACATAGGGTCAAATCCTGGCACCCTTACTCAGGTTGAGGAGTACCTTACTCTGCCATAGACCTACTCAACACAAGGTTGACAGAATCTGACCTATAATGTCCCTAAATGGTATTCCCACGGACCAGAAGAAAATGTCCTAATTGGCCATTACAACCATAGTAATGGTCAGATGACATTTTGGAATGTGGAGTGCAAAGAAAATGCTTTTCTTGAGTGCAGTGCTCAGATACAATGAGAACTTGACAGAGCCTTCACCCAGAACCTTTACTAAAGCCATATCTACACAGTAAGTTGCTGTGCAGCAAGCCAGGATCTGAATGTACAGCACACTACCTTGCCACGCAGTAACATCTCGTGTGGACACTGCTAGAGTGCAGTGAAAGTCCTGCAGTGCAGCCTGGCTTACCACGCTTTCAAGGAGTAGTTAGCCAAGGTACACTCCAGGACTTCCATTGTACTGCAGCAGGGTGCACATGGGATGTCACGGTGCACCAGCTTACTGTGCAGTATCTTCACAGCGCAGCATAGACACCAGTCTGATAAAGAAATGTACATGTATGTGCTCTTTGATTGTTATTATACCTTTAATTTACATTTTAATACTCTTCAAGGTAGATTTCCACCAAAGGCCAGGGTTAGAAACTAACTGGAAAACAATGCATATTTTCCTCTAAAAATGAGGAAAGGCATGAAATCTATATTTATTCACTTATTTTTAATGATTCCCAAAGGGTAAATTAATTAAAATGGTTTAAAATAAAACCTTTTTTTAAAAAAAGGAGCTGTGTGGTGCCATAAAGATGTGTCCCAAAATGAAACCCAGAAGCACTGGAAAATTAAGAAAGGGTAGGAGAGACTTCCAGCAACCCACACCCATATACAGCTACAATGTACTCAAAGGACATTCCACATTGGGGGTGGAGAGATATGGGAGTGGAGGTGGAAAGAGGGCCTTATGTCTCTCCACGGTGCCCCTTCTGGCTGATTAAGGATGCACATTAATGGCTCTGAAAGGAGTCCATGCGGCCCTTTGGCTGAAGGATGATGGATGATTGCCTGAAGAATGATGGGTGCAATACAAAATACACTAGTATGGAAGGATGGAAAACAGGGAAAGTAAAGAACATCCATGGCTTAAACAAGGAGGCTGAGGTTTCACCATACAAAATCTGATTGCTGATTTATGATCTCCCCAGAACCTAAAGTTGATCAGAAAGCCCACAGTTTTTCCTATGAAAAAAATTAGAAAACAGTTAAAGCCAGGGCCATCCAGAGGATTCAGGGGCCCTGGGGCAAAGCGGGGGAGCGGACATATTCACCGGGCGGCGCTCCGAGTCTGCAGCGGCAGTGGCGGATCCTTCACTCGCTCCACATCTTCGGCAGCACTGAAGGACCCGCCGCCGAGATGCCACCGAAGACCCAGACCACCGCCGGGTAAATAAAAATTAAAAAGGTGCCTCTAGCAGAGATTCTCAGCCAGGACTCGTGGGGCCCCCCGCTCTGGGCGGCCCTGGTTAAAGCATGAAAAGTGGCTTTACTCATTTTCACACACTTACTGTTTTCTAACTTTTGAAAATTGGAAAACAGTAAATAAGTATTAAAAATGGGTATCCCCTACTTTCACACACTCTTTTACCTTTCATCCCATTTTTCCAGTGAGGCAGGGGTGAAAGTAAGTTAGGTCACTTACCGGTACGGGCCAGGGGCGGGCTCTGGCCCCCGGAAGGGGCGGAGCCTCTGGCGGAAGGGGGCGGGGCTGGAGTCAGCATCCCCCAACCAGTCCTTTCAGGCCGCCTGGCCCACACTGCCCGGGGCTCCCGTGTTGATTTAAAGGGCCCGGGGCTCCGGATGCTCCCGGGCCCTTTTAAATCGCAGGCCCCAGAGCAACTGCTCCCTTTGCCCCCCCGCCCGTCAGAGGCTGCGGGGGGGGGGGGGGCAATGGGGCAGGGACATTTAAGCACTGCCATGGCAGCGCTTTAATGTGGGCTGGGTATGAGACGGTGCGGGTTCTTACCGGTACGGAGTACCGGCCCGTACTGGCTCACTTTTACGCCTGAGGGGGAGGGGGGGAGTAAAGAAAAGGGAAAGGGAGACAAAAATTCAAAAACCAAAAACAGAAAACCAAACTTTTTGAGTTTCCAAAAACTGAAATGATATTTCAAATTGAAACGAAACAAATTTTTCTTTTTTAAATGCTGGAAAAATCAAACATTTTTGTCTACATTCATATTTTCAATGTAAATTAAACCACATTTTCTAACAGAAAAATTTTTCAGTTGAAAATTTTTACCACCTCTAGCAAAACCCAAACATGGAATTCTAACATTATAATCTATAGCTGCTTATTTGTAATCAGTGGCAAGGTAAAGGCTTATATCTCATGCATAGTTGTTTGTGTGCGTGTGTCTATGCATACTTTATAGCAAAGTATTTACAGTCGTTAAGACAAAATAAATAGCGGCTTGATTGTTTTTATTAATGGCACAAATGAACTTAACAATTTAATAGTATTGATTGTATCAGCCTTAATTACATTACTCTTTCAGCAACTGTTCACATTGAATGAGCATTTGTAGAGTATGGAAACCAATAAAACACATACCTAGCAATTACTTCCCATGTTCTGTTTGAAGAGTTTTTTTAATCAGGGAGGAGGGAAATTAATGCCATTTTCTCTGGGGTGGAGGAGCCTCATTCATAAAATGAAGAGACCAGAGTGGGATGTTTTGAAAAGACACATGGATGATAAAGTTTGTGGATTGACAGAGGGTTAGAGCTGTAAATCAGCCTATCTCCTTTGATTTACACCTGCTGAGAATCTTGTCCCCGACCCGGGGGCAAGCGGGGAAGTTGTGCTTGAAAATTCTTCTGAAGGTCTTTCAAGATCTCTGCCATGCCCAGTAGAAGGA